AGCTGCCGCACGGCTCCCCAGGCCGGGGTGGGGGGGAGCTGGCGCAGGGGGGGCACCTCAGGGCAGAGGGGGGTCGCTGCCGCGGGGGGTCGCCTCAGGGCGGGGTGGGGGCGGGGAGCTGCCGCAGGGCTAGGGGGGGCGCAAGGTGGAAGTTTCGCCTAGGGCGCAAAACTTCCTTGCACCGGCCCTGGGTGTCTCTATACCCCCCTCCAAGCAGGGTGGGAGGTGAACCCTGCAGGTGCACCTCTGAACTCTGGGTCTGCACTGACCAAGGACAGCAACTGTGAGTGGGGTGCAGAGAAGGGTCGGGCATGTGATGCTGAGAGAAAGGTCCCACCCCCTAGATCCTGCATGTGTGTGTGTGTGTGTGTGTGCGCTTTGCCGCTCCGGCCGTCCTGCAGGGTTGTTGGTTTTTTTTTCCGGCTTTGCCACTCCAGCCGCCCCGCAGAGAGCCCAGGGTGCAGAAAGAGCTCAGGCAGTGCCAGGGCTCTGGCAGAGGGGCAGGGACTCACCTTGGCCTGGGTGACACCTGCCTTGTGTCACCCAGGCTGAGAAAGTGGTACGGTCTGGGCAGCTGTGTGGCCTGGTGTCCCCACTCCCCCACCCCAGTGCCTGCACCTGGAGCTGGATTCATCACCACCCCCCTGCACCCCAACCCTCTGCCCCAGCCAGCCCACCTCCTGCGACACAAACCCCTCATCCCCATCCCCACCCCAGAGTCCGCACTCCAAACCGGATTCCTCACCCCCTGCACCCCAACCCTCTGCCCCAGCTCTGAGCCCCTCATCCCCACCCCAGAGCCCACACCCCCAGCTGGGGTCCTCACCTCACTCTCAAAGGACTAAACAGGACTATTTTACCAGAGCAGGTTGGAAAAAAACTCAACAAAATATTTTCTCCCTGGAATTTGACAACCATAAGGAAGGCTCAATCAATAACCAGGCAGTGCCTAGAATCAGGGTAGCGCAGGGCATTAGGGGCACTAACTCCTCCCTCCCCTCCAGGGCCATGTGCTGCTCCCACAGTAACGGGGAGACCCGGCTCCCCGGGCACAGGCAGAGCAGTGCTGGCCCCTGCTGCTCAAAGGGTGAACTGTCCAACTCAGCACTATTTCAGTGGCACTGGCTGCGTGCACAAGGCTAACGTGACAAGGGAGGCGCGACCTTCTCGTTACAGGTACTAGGACTCCTGGGTCCGCCCCTGCAGTGAAGTCGGAGCAGGCTACAGCGGGAGCTCACGCTTCCAGGATGAGCGAGACGTGCTACCCAGCTTCCAAGGGGCAGTGCTGGCTAAGAGTCCCCCTAGCCCAGCCCCGGACTTCTCCATGCCCAGGCCTTAGACAGAAGACATGAATTTCTAATCAGCAAAACGCTCTTCAGCTTCTGTTGAGCTTCTGGATTCTGCTCTGCGTCAGCGAGGGCCGAGACGGTGCCACTGGCTCCCAGTATCCCCGTGACCCCTCAATACCCCCAGCCCTGAGTCACCCCGTGCTCCCCAGCCATTGCCCCTGGTCTTCGCAACCCCCCGCTGCTGGGCAGGATGAGGGGGTGAGTCCCTGCCTCCCCTCCTGTGTTTGCAGTGTGCAGAGGACCCGGAGGGGGGCAACATCACACATGCCTGCTCCCAGGACGCAGCTGTGAACTGAGGCCTCCCTTCCCCATTTGTCCCATTTCCACAGTGGGGAGATCAGCCTTGCCACAAGCTGGAGATGCCTCAGGCCCTACTGGGTCCCAGGCAGACTCTGTAATTGACGTCCTGGCCCAACATCTCCTGCAGGGGGACTGAAGGGAGAAGAAAATGCTCCCGGCTTCCCCCACCCACTCCTGCCCCGCAGCTGATTTCCAGCCTCTCTGAAGTGGGAAGGGTGTTGGCAGCCCAGAGAGCTGCCCTGCGGCTGCAGCGCCAGAGGACGCACGGTGCCAGCCAGGTGGGCACATGATCGGTAGCAGCCGCCATCTGCTGCACATGCCCACCCCGCTGCCTGGGCCTGAGCTGTTTACTTTCAAAACCCAGGGGCTCTGCTATTGGCTGGGCTCTGCTAGAAATACTGGAAGGGTCTGGCTCTCGGGAGATAGGTGCTGCAGGTCTCATGAAGCCAGTAGTAAAACATCATTTCAGTTTCTAAAAAATGTACACGATGATTTTCTAAACCCTCACGTATTGCACCAAATACAGTGTAACACTGTTTTGGACTTTATTGTGGTAGATACAGATGAATTAATCACTGGTCTGGAAGTTGGTGTTTGCCCAAGGAACGTGATCTGATTGCATTCAATATAGGCAAACAAAAAGGAATAATTTCCCAAAGCTGAGGAAAGTGAGTGAAATTAATTGTGGGGGGGAGGGGAAGTGTAGACAGAAAAATCTGAATGAAAATTGGGAGCTCTTTAAGAAGAGTTTATTAGATGGCCAAAAAGCCACAATCAAAGAGGGGAACTTGGGCTAAAAGCCCAACCTGGTTCAATGAGGAAGTGAAGGCAGTATTTAGAAATAAAACACTACATAAGAAATGGGAAAAGTGGAAATAGATAGCAATCAATATAAATTAAAAGCTATCAAGTGTAGACCATAGATAAGGGATGCTAAGACATCAAGGAAAACTGTGTTTGGCAGAGCTAAGGATAATAAGCTTTTAAAGTACATTAAGGTACATTAGCAGCCCACAAAAGCTTATGCTCAAATAAATTTGTTAGTCTCTAAGGTGCCACAAGTACTCCTGCTCTTTTTGCGGATACAAATTAACCCGGCTGCTACTCTGAAACCTGTCATTAGGAACACAAGAAATGCTAACACTGGTCTAGGCCGTTTATTAGGCCTGGATAACTTTTGTATCCAAGAGTCCCAAAGTGTTAGCTGAGGAGATCTCTGGCCCACTGGTGTTCGATCTTAATCTTGGAATACAAGGGAAATTCCAGAATATTGGAAGTTGTGCTAATATTCTAAAAGGGCACGTGGGATGACCTGGGTAACTATAGGCTGGTTAGTCTGACATCAGTCCCAGGCAAATAACAGAAAAACTGTTATGAGGTTCTCTTGATAAAGAATTAAAGGCTGGGTATTCTTGCCATTCAACCTGGTTTTATGGAAAATAGGTCTTGGTAAAGAAACTGCCTAGTTAACAGCAGCACTGCCATCTAAAATGGTCACCACTGGCCTCAGACGACAGCTCCTCCAGGAGGTCTGTGGCTAACACTGCCTTGTCACCCCACTCTGATAGTTTTCATTTCCACTGCATTGAGAAGGATGTGGCTACTAGGGGATGGGGACTACTGGCTTCACACCTCACTGAAGATGAGAGGGGTGGGCAGGAACTGAGTTCACTCCTTTTTGCTGCTATTGGGTTTAAGGTAACTTGTAAAGGGGGAAACAAACTGTGTTTGTATTTTGTTTGTCTTTCACTTCTTTAAGATAGACAAAGGGGACCTGAATCTTTTAAAATTCTGGTTGGTTCTTTTTGTACTTCAGAAATGTGGAGAATATCAAGGCTTTTTGTTGTTGTTGCTGCTGCTAGAGAACTCCTTGGAGGAGGGGAGAACTAGAGTGGGAGTATTTTCATCCCTCAGTGAAAGGGCATCAGGATTTTCACACACAGAGTTTTTCTCCCAAGTGTCTGTCAGACATTTGAGTTAAATAGGTGTAGAAAAATCAGGTCTTTGGGCTTTTGTATTAAGTCCCCCAATGACTTCAGATGGAGTTGGGCGCACCTAGCTCAAAGATTAGGTTAAAGGAGTTTTAAACCATCTCTATCAGATTTCACTTCCTTGGTTCTTGTGTTGTCAGAAATCTCCCAGTTCTCCTGTGGCCAAGACCTGAATTTCCAATGTAAAACTAAAGCAGGAAAAACCTTTGCCAATGAGGGGGTGAAGGATAACCCCCCCCCTTTCTTTCTCCATGACAAAGGGTTTGTTCTGCTGCTTATTTTCCTTTTGAGAGTCACCTTCAAAGTTTATTTGGGATGGGTTTTTTTTCTCTCTTCCATGCTCCAAATTTGATCAATGTTTTCATAAATACAATCCATCAAACTACCGGATTTAATCTCGCAGACAAAGGTGCAACGAGACCCACTGGCTGGAAGCTGAAATTAGCAAAGGTCCAACAGAAAAGAAGACACATTTTAATAGGGAGAGCAATTAACCTTTGGAACAGTTTGCCACAGGCCATGGCAGATTCTCCTTTTAAATGGAGCCTGGATGTGTCTCTAAAAGACATGCTGTAGCTCAAAGAGAGGTGATTGGCCTCAATGCAGGAATCACCGGGTGAGACTCTGTATGTAGCGTCACAGGTCAGAGTCTGATCAAATGCTCCCGTCTGGCCTTCAAATCTGTGAAGAAGAGACAGAGCCTCCATGAAAGCCACTAGGGACTTCACTATTACCTCACTTTTATGAGGGATGAGCTCATGTACTACAGTGATGAGCAGCGGGAGGAGACCTTACGATCGATAGAATCTGGCCCTGTCATTCTGAGTGGGCTCTGTTGCATTGATAACAAATTGCATTGATACGTGTTGTGATACTTGGGCTTAGAAATTTACCTAGACCGTGAGCTCAACTGCGAGAAAGGTCAAGAGACCTAAGAACAACTGAGAGCAACAAATGTTAATGGGAAAAGGTGCCAAAGGGACACACGCTGAATTAGTCCAAACAAAAAGGTCTCCTGATGTAATTCAAGGGCTGTGTGAAGTTCATGCCTGGTAAACAAGAAAAGCGTGGGACTGGAGGTGGATGAATGAGAATCAGTGTGTTGTAAATTAGGCTTAGTTCATGGACCAAACAATGATGGATGGGCTATTCCACCCACCAGTCCCCTTTTGCGGCCCGCCACAAGAGACAGTGGGGGGGAAGACTGGCTACCTACATAGCAGCGTAGTTAGAACTTGTGACACAATGGGGTTTCAGGACTCTCGTTAATTATAGCAAATTTATTAAATAAGTGGCATCAAACATCAGCTCAGCAAAACCATCCCAGCAGCTGCTCATGTCTGCCACCCAGATGACATAAAGCCGGGGTTCAGAGTTAACTATAACATGGGATGGACGCACAGTAAATACCGCAAAGCAGGAGGCTTTGGCTGTAAATGCAGCAAGGGAATCCAGCAGAAGGTTTCCCATGCCCTCTAGTGGTGATCTGTTGACAAATCACTGGCAGGCTGCAAGTTCCCAAGCTGGGGAAGGTCAGTTTACTACCCATCAAGCCCTGGCTGTTTAATAGCATATTGGAACACAAGTGGGCTGCACAAGGGACCGAAAAGGAGCAAAGCAAACATTTCACATGGTTTCTGCTTCGGCACGCCCAGCCCGAAGTGCTCCGGATGTCAGATTCTGCGTGAAATCTTTCAGAGCGCTAGGCCCACCCTCGCCCTTTCTTTCCTGGAACACAAAGAGAAGGCCTGTGTTAATTGCAGTCTCACTCAGCCTGCTTAGCGACTTCATTCGGAACCCCCCTGGGACAGAACGCCCCGGAAACGGCAGCTCCCCTGCCAGCCGGCCGGGTTGCATTCACAGTAAAATGGTCACTGGGGTTCACTCGGTAGGTGAGAGCTAGAACAAGCCGGACGCTGGAGAGCAGCGTGCTAAAGATACCGGGAGCGCCCACGTCTCTTTGCAGGGGTATAAGGAACAGCCCACCCGCTGAGGAAGGGTTATTGTTTGTGGTGAAGGCATGAGGCTGGGAGTCACCATCTCTGCCATTGATTAGTGACCTGCAGTTCCCCCACCTGTGCAATGGGGGTTCTGCCTACCTCCCCGGGGTGCTGCCGGGATGTGCCAAATCCTTGCAAGGAAGGTGTGGTAGGAGGGCAGTGGATTACGACTGCCGTGTATATGAGGAGAACCGCAATGCCCTTTGGGAGAGCAGAAAAAGCCACGCGGAGGGGTTCCCGTCTAACCCCATCAGAGAGATGTCACCGCGTGCTGCCGCATCGACACACTCCATTAGTCCAGCTGAGGAACAGAAAAATGGGCGTGTGGCTAAAACCATGGGCGGGTGCTCAGGAGATCTGGGTTTAACCCCTGGCCCTGCACCGAACTCCCTGGGAGATCATGGCTAGGTCACTTCATCTAGCCGGTGCTTCCATTTCCCATTGGTAAAATAGGAGCAAGGATCCTTCCTTTCTCCCACCTCTTTTCTGTTTTGTCCATTTAGACTGTGAGCTCTTCAGGGCAAGGCTGTGTGTTTGTACAGCACAACCGGCCCCTGATCTCACTCTATGCACTACTAGAATACAGATCATAATTTTCTTCTTCTTGCCCGGGCAGTAACAAAATCTCTTCCCAGCCTGGCTCCTGGAGTTAGAAAGGCCCCTTCATGAATTGCCCAATCAATTCTAAAACATGTCCAGCCTCTCTCCCGGCCTGCCTAGCACCAGAATGGGAGACGGCTTAGTGACCGCTGAGGGACATTCATCACCCCCCACACTTGTTCTTCTCTCCCCTGCCCCCTCCCTGCCCTCAGAAACCCCACCTGCCCAGCAGATGTGGGGTGGGAGCAGTTGACACAGCAGTGTCTTATGCTGCCTTTACACCAGCAAGAGAAATTCTCTGCTGGCCGCCACCAGCCAGGACGCAGCCCTTTTGCACCACCTGAGCTTGTGCCATAATGACCTGACTCCAGGAGCAGGGGCTTTAAGAAGAAACCCAACTAGCATGAGACTTGTGATAAAACCACTGAAGTGACAACCCAGGGTGGGGAGAATTGGACCCAAAATCTCCTACTGACCTTCTATGTAGACGCAGTTGTAACGGCTGAAGGTCCGGTTTGTGCTGTGGAGGACAAATAAGTTGCTGTTCTTGTCCTGGGTGAAGTTGCACACCCTAAATCTCTCATAGACTGGAATCAGCACTTCTTCCTCGTCTCGGATATAAGAGAAGTCTGCGATGGGGACCCCGAAGCACGTCCGGATGGTGAAGAATGTGGCTGAGCCAAATCTGTGAGCTACGTTCCTGTCTAAAGATGAAGAGGCAAACGTCCCAAACCGGACCATGCCACCTCTCTTACCGGGTTGGTAGCGGAGAGAACGGACTCCCCTGTACACCTCCATCTCGTACATCTCAGCACAGTCTCTCTTCAGGAGCTGCAATGCTCTGGTCAAGTAAAAATGAAGGGCTTTGAATGGGAAATGTTTGAGATAATATGCTCGGGATTTACCAGCCTCTCTCACGGCTTTGTTGAACTCCTGGTACAAAGGTATCTCACCTCCGCTGGTATAGGCCAGGATTGCTATTCCATTCTCATCCTTAAACCCTCTAGGCAGAGAGAGGTTTTTCTTATTATTATTCCATTGTTTTTTCGCAGCTTCCCATCTTTTGCTAAACACCTTGTGCCTTAACTTCTCTTGCCGCAGCAGTTTAGACTTGATTATATTTTCCATTACTTCTGTGCAGCCGATATACTGGTCATCAAAAGCATTGAAGGCCATGTCCAGCACCGGCTGGCAATTCACCTGGAACAACACAGCATATCAAACACGAGGGGTGGATGGCTGCCGGGCTCCCAGCATGGCTAGCACTAGTGGAACTGGGCTGGGCCAGCCACCATGGGACATTTTTTCTGAATTTTCCTGGTATAAACAAGGAGAGAGAGAGAGAGAGAGAGAGAGAGAGAGCCCCTTACCAAACAAACTCATAAGTAGGGCCATACCAACTTCGCGCCCATGAAAAACGTGTCACAGACTGTGAAATCTGTGCTTTTACCCTATGCCATACAGATTTCACGGGGGAGACTAGTATTTCTCAGATTGGGGGTCCTGACCCAAAAGAGAGTTGCAGGGGGTCACATGGTTATTTTAGGGATGTCGCAGTACTGCCACCCTTACTTCTCTGCTGCCTTCAGAGCTGGGCAGCCAGAGAGCAGCGGCTGTTGGCCGGGCACCCAGCTCTGAAGGCAGCACCCCGCCAGCAGCAGCACAGAAGTAAGGATGGCAATACCATACGAGACTACCCTTATTTGTCCTGGGTGAAGCTGCACACCCTAAATTTCTCATAGACCGGAATCAGCACTTCTTCCTCGTCTCGGATAGAAGAGAAGTCTGCGATGGGGACCCCGAAGCACATCCGGATGGTGAAGAATGTGGGAGGGAGGGATAGCTCAGTGGTTTGAGCATTGGCCTGCTAAACCCAGGGTTTTGAATTCAATCCTTGAGGGGACCACTTAGGGATCTGGGGCCAAATCAGTATTTGGTCCTGCTAGTGAAGGCAGGGGGCTGGACTCGATCACCTTTCAAGGTCCCTTCCAGTTCTAGGAGATCGGATATCTCCATTATATATACTTCTGCACTGTTGCCTTCAGAGCTGGGTGGCCAGAGAGTGGCAGCTGCTGACTGAGGGCTCAGCTCTGCAGGCAGCAGCGCAGAAGTGAGGGTGGTAATCCCATACCATGTCATCCTTACTTCTGCGCTGCTGCTGGTGGTGGCTCTGCCTTCAGAGCTGGGCTCCCGGCCAGCAGCCACCACTCTCCAGCTGTCCAGCTCTGAAGGCAGCGCCGCCGCCAGCAGCAGCACAGAAGTAAGGTGTAACGGTGCAGACTCACCCAGCGACGCCCCCTGCTACTATCTTCCGGGAACTAGCTCTCCAGCCTCCGGAGCGCCCTCTGTCAGCCAGTGTCTCGCCCTGCACTAGCGCCAATGTCCCTCCCGGATGACCCTGTCCCTGGGTGCTGCCCCCAGGCTGTACCCCCACAGTTTCTGCAGGTCTTCTCACTCAGGCGAACCCCCATCCACTATCCCCGCTTCGCCTCAGTCATAGGCTACTGCCAGTCACCAACTAGCCCCCGCTCACTGGGGCAGACTGCAGTATAAGCCACTCATCATAGGCAAGGGGGGGGTTGGACCTGCTGCCTCTACCTACCCTTGGGCTGCCCTCTGCAACCCCCGTACCTGCCTTAGGCCTTCAGTTAGGCCCGCAGCCTGGGGGTTTTCCAGGCTAGAGTTCCCTAGGTCCTCTAGCCTCCCCCCAGCCCTGCTCCACTCTCAGTACCCTGCTCAGCTCCCCGGCAACCAGGCCCCCTTCTCTCTTTACAGGCAGAGAGAGAGTCTCTGGGCTCCTGGCCAGCTGTCCCCTGATTGGGCGGGCCGGGGGTGCTCAGCCGGAAGCCGGGCCGGGGACCGGCAGTGCTGGGCGGGCCGGGGGTGCTTGGCCGGGGGCCCGGGGGCCGGGCCAGGGA